AAAACAAAAACAGGAAGATAGCTTAAGAGAACTGTGGGACAACTAGAAACGTAATAACATTCGCATCATAGGAGACCACAAAGAGGAAGAAAATGGGCAAGGGTTAAAGAATATATTTGAAGAAATAGTGACAGAAAACTTTCCTAACTTGGTGAAGGAAGAAGGCATTCAAGTTCAAGAAGCACAGAGAGCCCCAAGTAAGAAGAACCCAAACAGGCCCATACCAAGTCACATAGTAATTAAAATGCCAAAAATTAAAGACAAAGAGAGAATCCTAAAAGCAGCATGAGATAAGCAACAGGTTACCTACAAAGGAAACCCCATAAGGCTCTCAGCTACTTCTCAACAAAAACACTATAGGCCAGAAAGGAGTGGCATGAAGTAATCAAGGTTATGAAAAACAAGGATCTGAATCCAAGACTACTCTACCCAGCAAGACTATCATTCAAAATAGAAGGTCAAATAAAGAGCTTTCTGGACCAAAAAAAAAAAAAAAGGCTGAGGGAATATATTAACACCAAACCAGCACTACAAGCTATGCTAAAAGAACTGCAGTAGAAGAAATAGAAAGAAAGAAAAATAGAACCATACTAAACAAAAATGGCAATAAATAAGTACATGTCAATAATCACCTTAAATGTGAATGGCTTGAATACTCTGATAAAAAGACACAGAGTAGCTGACTGGATAAGAAAGCATGACTCACAAATACTTTTTTTTTTTTTTTTTTGGTACGTGCCCCTAGCAGGAACCAAACATGGAACTCTCTGGTCCACAGGCCGCGGCTTCAACCACTGAGCCAAACTGGCCAGGGCTCACCTATATGTTGTTTACAAGAGATCCACCTCACAACAAGAGACTCACATAGATTGAAAGTGAAGGGATAGGAAAAAAATCCTTCAAGCAAACAGAAAGGAAAAAAAGCTGGGGTAGCAATACTCATATCTGATAAAGTAGATTTCAAAATGAAGACCATACCTAGAGACAAAGAGGGCCACTACATAATATTGAAAGGATCTATCCAACAGAATGATATAACCTTGGTAAACATATGTGCACCCAATATAGGAGCACCAACATATATTAAAAATCTTCTGGAGGAGTTCAAAGAAGAAATCAACAGCAATACAATCATAGCAGGGGACTTCAACACCCCGCTGACATCACTGAATAGATCATCCAGACAAAAAATTAACAAGGAAACACAGACTCTAAATGAAGCACTAGACCAAATAGATTTAATAGATATATACAGAGAATTACACCCCAAAACTGCAGAATTCACATTCTTCTCAAGTGCACATGGGACATTCTCAAAGATAGATCACATATAGGGCACAAACTAAGTCTCTACAAGTTCAAGAAGACTGAAATCATATGAAGCATCTTCTCAGATCACAATGGCATGAAACTAGTAATCAATTGCAACAAGAACATACAAAGACATTTGAACACATGGAAGCTAAATAGCATGTCATTAAACAATGAGTGTGTTGCCGAGGAGATCAAGGAAGAAATTAAAAACTTCCTGGAAACCAATGAAAATGAACACACAACAACACAAAATCTATGGGATGCAGTGAGAAGAGTTCTGAGAGTTAGGTTCACAGCACTACAGGCCCACCTCAAGGAACAAGAAAACTTTCTACTAGACTATCTAACTTCACAACTTTACGATCTAGAAAGCAAACAAAAAGAAAACCGCAGAGCAAGTAGAAGGAAGGAAATAGTAAAGATCAGAGCAGAAATAAATGATATGGAGACCAAAAAAAAAAAAAAAAAACTGAATCAAAGGATCAATGAAACAAAGACCTGGTTCTTTGAAAAGACAAACAAGATTTATGGACCCTTAGCTAGACTCACCAAGAAACAAAGAGAGAGAACCCAACTACACAAAATCAGAAATGAAAGACGAGAAATAATAACTAACACCACAGAAATACAAAGAATTGTTAAGAACTATACAGCAAAAATTCGACAATCTAAGCAAAATGGACAAATTTCTAGAAACACACAGTCTCCCAAAACTGAACCAAGAAGAGATGGAAAATTTCAACAAACCAGTAACAACAAAAGAAATTGAAGATGTAATCAAGACTCTGCCAACAAACAAAAGCCAAGGCCTGGACGGCTTCACGGGGGAATTTTACCGAACATTCAAAGAACTAATACCCATTCTCCTCAAACTATTTCAAAAAATTAAAGAAGAAGGAAGACTTCTAAACTCGTTTTATGAGGCCAGCATGATTCTAATTCTAAAACCAGAAAAAGACACTTCACTTAAGAACTGGAACAAAACAAGGATGCCCACTTTCGCCACTCTTATAGTACTGGAAGTCTTAGCCACAGCAATCAGACAGGAAGAAAAAATGAAAGGGTTCCAAATTGCAAAAGAGGAAGTAAAACTCATTATTCACAGATGACATGATACTATACATAGAAAACCCCAACGTCTCCGTCAAAAATTTACTAGACTTAATAAATGAATTTGGCAAAGTAGCAGGATACAAAATTAACGTCAAGAAATCAACAGCATTCTTATACACCAATGATGAACTCAAAGAAAAAGAAACTAAAAACAAACAAACAAAAAATCCCATTTGCCATCGCAGCAAAAAAATTAAGATACCTAAGTATAAACTTAACCAAAGAAATAAAGGACCTATCTGCAGAAAACTACAGGTCATTGCAAAAAGAAATAGAGGAAGATACAAAAAAGTGGAAGCACATACCTTGTTCATTGATTGGAAAAATGACTTCATTAAAATGTCCATACTACCCAAAGCAATCTATAGAGTCAATGCAATCCCCATCAAAATACCAATAACATACTTCACAGAACTAGAACAAATACTACAAACGTTCATATGGAACCAAAAAAGACCTCGAATAGCCACACCAATCTTCAAAAAGAACAACAAAGTTGGAGGGATCACATTACCGGATTTCAGGTTATACTACAAAGCCACTGTAATCAAAACAGCCTGGTATTGGCACAAGAACAGGTAGATAAATCAATGCAACAGAACAGAGAACCCAGAAATGGACGCAAGACTATATGTTCAATTAATATTTGACAAAGGTGGCAAGAGCATACAGTGGAGTGAAGACAGCCTCTTTAATAATGGTGTTGGGAAAATTGGACAGCTACATGCAAAAAAAAAAAAAAAGAAACCAGACCATCAACTTACACCCTACACAAGAATAAACTCAAAATGGATAAAAGACTTAAATGTGATTCATGAATCCATAAAAATCCTAGAAGAAAATGTAGGCAATAAAATTTCTGACATCATACGCAGCAGAAATCTCACTGATACATCACCTAAGGCAACAGAAACGAAGGAGAAAATGAACACATGGGACTCCATCAAACTCAAAAGCTTCTGCACAGCAAAAGAAACAACCACCCAAATGGAAAGACAACCCACTTTATGGGAGATCATAACTGCCAATGATATATCAGATAAGGAGTTAATTTCCAAAATATATAAAGTGCTCATACAACTCAACAAAAGGAAAACAAAGAACCCAATTAAAAAATGAGCAGAGGCACTATAGATACCTCTCCAAACAGGACATACAAATGGCCAAGAGACATGAAGAAATGCTCAACATCACTGATCATCAGAGAGATGCAAATTAAAACAACAATGAGGTATCACCTCACACCTGTCAGAATGGCCGCCATCAACAAATCATCAAAGAAGTGTTGGCGAGGGTGTGGAGAAAAGGGGACTCTAGTTGGTGGGAATGCAGACTGGTGCAGCCACTATGGATAACACTATGGTGTTACCTCAAAAAGTTAAAAATTAAACTTCCATTTGACCCAGTGATCCCACTTCTAGGAATATACCCTAAGAAGCCTAAAACACCAATCAGAAAGAGTATATGTACCCCCAAGTTCGTGGCAGCACTATTTACAATAGCTAAGGTCTGGAAAGAGCTCAAATGTCCATCAGTAGACGAATGGATAAAAAAGCGGTGGTACATATACACAATGGAGTACTATGCAGCTGTAAGAAAGATAGATCTCTTATCCTTTGAGACGACATGGAGGGACCTGGAAAGTATCATCCTTAGTGAAACAAGCCAAACAGAGAAAGACAAGTATCATATGTTCTCACTTATTTGTGGAATATAATGAACATAACAGTCTGAGAAATGGGGTAGTCCCAGAGACGTAGAAGTGGGGTACAGACTGACAATCCCCAGAATACGGTGTGGTGGGGGAGAGATAAACCACAGAACTTATATGCATGTGTGCATGCACAATGGACATGGACAACAAAGCTGGGGACAGGGTGGGGAGGGTGGGGGAGGGGACAATCGGTAGGGGAAAAAGGAAAAACATCTGTAACAAAAATAAATAAATTAAAATGAAAAAAAAACAAGAGAATAAGTTTGTTTCCAACAAAAACAACCACAAATACATAGAAGACCTGGCCGCGTAGGTAAATCAGTTGGAGAGTCGCCCCATACAGCAAAAGGTTGCAAAGTTCAATCCCCAGTCTGGGCGGGTTTGAAGGCAACTGATGTTTCTTCTCTCTCTCTCTCTCTCTCTCTCTCAAAATCAATAAAACCTTATCTTTGGGTGAGGATTTAAAAAAAAGTAAACACAGCCTGGCTGGTGTGGCTCAGTAGTTGAGCATCAACCCATACACTAAGAGGTTACCAGTTTGATTCCTAGTCAGGGCACATGCCCAGGTTGTGGGGCCCAATCCCCAGTGGGGGGCATGCAGGAGGCGGCAAATTGATGTTCTCTCTCTTCAATGTTTCTATCTCCCTCTCCCCCTCCCTTCCTCTCTCTCGAAAATCAATAAAGAAAAAATATTTTTTTAAAAAAACTTGGAAGCACTCCTATAAAGAGTTAGCCAACAAATATTAAAAACCTTGTTTTAATATTAAGGTTTCTAACTTTGTACTGAAAGTTAAAACACGGCCTTTTAAAACTGCAATCAATGCAGCAGCCTTCAAAATGAACAAGATGTATAACTTACCTCTTTAACAATATTGTGGGCTTCATCCGAATTGAAGCCAACCTAAAGGGGGAAAACAAAAGACAAAGCTGCTTTTAACACAGACTTCCTCTTATTGGCGGTAAACAGAATCCCCTAGGCTGGCCTAGTCAGGTGTTAGTGACAGGAGACCATAGTGATAAAGGAAGGCTGCTAAACCTACCTCGAACACTTAAAGTTACAGAATGCTTTCCTTACGTCTCCCTGGGGATTTTGATTCATTTTATCTGGGGCAGAACCTGGGCAACTACTTTTTTGTAAAAAGTGCTTTACTGGTGATTCTGATGAACACCCTAGATTGAGAATCTTTGCACTACAGAGCACAAGAAACAGCAGAAGGTAGGTATAAAGATGTGTCATCAGCCCTGGCAGGTTTGGCTCAGGGGTTGGAGCGTCAGCCTGCGGTCCAGAGAGACCCGGGTTTGGTTCCTGCTAAGGGCATGTACCTTGGTTCCAGTTTGTCCCTGGCCCTGATTGGGTTGTGTGGGTGGCAGCCACTCGATGTGTCCCTTTCACGTAGATGTTTCTCTCTGTCTCTCCCTCCCACTCTATCTGAACAAAATATCGAAAAATGTCCTCGGGTGAGGATAAAAAAAAAAAAAAGAGGTGTCATCAGTATACAGAAGTGCACTGAAGTGAGAATGAGGTGGTCCATGCTTAATAGATTACTTCAATTTTGTTTTTAACTTATGCTAGGCAAAAATATGGCTTTTCTGAATTAAAGATTATGAAAATATTTGACCATTCTAACTTATTGACCCTTTCATACTATATAATAGGTCTGGCAACTTAATCTTTACTTTGGAGTGACTTGATAGACTCCTGAATTAAAAGTAACTGTTAATGACATCTAAGTGTCTGTCCCAGAGTAGAGAACTAGGCTATGTAATAAGACTGAAATCTACACCAAAATATTTCAGGTTAATACATGATTGTTTTCCATGGAGAAATTTTTAGGTACTTTATGACATCATTTTTGCAAATCCACTATAAAACAAAACTGGTTTCAAACACAAGTAAATTCTGACAATAAGTATCGTCTTGAATATAGATATAAAATATTTTCAACTCAATTACACCACAGAATTCCCCAATTAAGGAATAAAAATACCCTAAATTATTGGGAATATTTTGAAAACAGCCTACACGTTTTAACTCTATTAAAATGCTTGTTTTACCTTAAAATAAGGTCTTCATCAATTTTAGAAAGTGGTGTACAAATTAAAGGATGTCCATTTCACTTTGATTTGGAAGGTCACCAAATATGTAATTGGGATGTATGGGGTGGCCATGGTGACACATATAATTTAATTTCTTTTTAAATGTAAGTATTTAGTAAGTACTGCCATACAGAACTCTCTTACAAGTCAGGAGACTAGCACTTGGGGTACATGTCTGAGGGTGAAATTGCTTGTGGCTCAATTTCTAAAATAAGAATAATTTAGCACTAATCTGTAAGTATGTGTGCTACCTGTATCACAGAACTAATTAAATGTGGTTTTAGCTTCTCTAGGAGCCCACATTCTCAAGAAGAATCAACCAGAAGTCGCTTCCAGGGGTCTAATAACACATTATTTTATGCTGCCCCTGCATTACCTGCCTAGGTGCCTACTTTTTTCACCGCACCATTAACCTGTGGCTATCCTGAACAGAGAATGTCTTTGTCTCTTCTGTCCTTCCAGGCTTATTACAAGTTATGCTGGGATCCAACAGGCCTCATCCTCCTACAGGTTAATGTGAAGCAAGAGTTGTTGTGAGGTCAGAGGCCCAGGTTCACATGGAGCATCTGTCTTTCCTGGCAGTTTTAACTTTGGGCCAGTCTCTTAGCCACCATGAAAGTCAGAGTCCCCATCAATAACAGGAAAATAACAAACGACATTATAGGGTTCTGGCTAGGTTTCAGGAAGCCTGAGTCAGTAAGTAAGGGCTCCTAATCCATGAAATACCTTCTTTCAGCCCACCCAGGGGAGAGCGACAGGGAGCTGGAGGGCTCTGTAACTAGGGCCCCCTCGCTCACAGGGCGGCGGCACCTACTTTGGGGGACGGCAAAGGCCAGGGACAGCACCCAGGAAGACCGGTTTCCAAGGCCTGTCCCTGCAGACGGGCGGTGCCTGTAACCCCATCCCCACCCCACCCATCCCGAGTCAGGCCTTCCACCCCTAGGCCCCGACACCACCGCCGACCCCACCGCCAACGCCAGTCGCTACGGGTTGCCTCTGCCACCCAGGACTCTCAACCCACCCTCTGGGCCTGGGGGGGGGGGGGCGGGGGCCGGGAACGGGCGGGGTGAATGGATCTCCGGCCCGGGGGAGAAGACCCAAGCTCGAAGGACGCTGCACGCCAATTCTCGGGGCCTCGGGGAGCCGGGAGACCACCCAGCAGAGACCCAAGGCCTAGACGGGCGGGGGCCGGAGCCGGGGCGGGGGTGGGGGTCGCTGAAAGGCGGCGAGGGGCGGTACCTCGTCGCAGTGGCGATGGTACTCCTCCATGGTGTCTCCGACTCTCCTGGGGGGCGGAGCGACGGGCGGGGCGAGCTCCGCGGCCGCGCACTGGCTTCGGGGGAGACACCGCCCCGTTTTTATTTCGGGGTGGTCCCTACGTAGGATCCGCCTTTGTGACTCAGCGGCGCCGCCTTCCTGCCAGCACTGTCAGAATTCTAGGCGATTGGTCTCTCCAGGATTCTTCTGACCTTTCTGAAAACAAGGGATGGATGTTAAAGAGCTGGGAATGTGCCAGTGTGGATCATTTGGGGTGTTCTGGTGTCAGTCACTCTAAACTCCACTTTATTGTTTGAGTGCCTACTGCTGTGGTTATGTGTATATTATTTGTCCATCATCATCCAGCAAATAAGTGTAGTTAAGGCACTGGTGAACACACAGCTTTGATTTGTCCACTTACTAGCTATGTTACTTGGAAAAAATTAATCTTTCCACAGTTTCAGTTTACTTGTATGAAAACTTAAAATTAGCCCTGGCCGGTTTGGCTCAGCAGTTAGAGCTGGGCCGGCGGTCCAGAGAGACCCAGGTTCGGTTCCCGCTAAGGGCACGTACCTCAGTTGCAGTATGTCCCCGGCCCTGGTTGGGTCGTGTGGGTGGCAACCAGTCGATGTGTCCCTTTCACATGGATGTTTCTCTCTCTCCCTCCCATTCTATCTGAAAAAAAATATCGAAAAATGTCCTCCGGTGAAGATAAAAAAATAACAACAACAAAAAAAAACCCTTAAAATTATACCTATTTCATGGTTGGTTGTAAAGTTCAAATGAGATGCTGTATACATAACTCCTAAAGTGGATGCTCCTATACCCCTCCTCCTTAATGACCATGTAAAAAGAAATATTTGATTCATAGGAGAGAAGGTACAAACATCTAAATTAAATTATGAATGTTAGCAGAACAATGGTTATGGTTATTTAAAAAGCAGGAAATTCCAGATGATCCTAAGGATTTCCACATTGAAATACATATCAACCCAGCAGCTTTGATTCTCTTATCATCTTCCCATTTGTCTACACCATGGGGTAGAGAAAGCCTCTTCAATACATGGTTCTGGGAAAACCATGTGCAAAAAAAATGAAACAAGATTACATTTTGTCCTTATCTATAAAAATCAATTTAAAATAAATCATGACATTTTTCAGGATGAAAATTTAAGTAATTTGCCCAAGATTATATATGTCGTCAGTAGTAGATGAAGGACTTAAACTCAAGTAGTCTGATAGCAGCACTCAAGTTCTTAAGCACTGTATTAATTTTCTATTGTTGCTGTACCAAATTACCATAAAATTAGTGGCTTAAAGCAGCACAAACTTAATATTGTACAGTACTAGAGGTCAGAAGTCTAAAATGGGTCTGTAGGACTGTATTTCTTCTGGAGACTTTAGGGGAGAATCCATTCCCTGGCTTTTTTTTTTTTTTTTCCAGCTTCTAGAAGTTGCCTACATTCTTTGGCAATATTTAGTTTAATGCTCACACATGGTTGCAGTTCTGAGTTCACAAGGCATGAAGGTATCACATACAATGAAGAAGATGAACATTGACTTGAGTTGATGTTTTTCTTAGGAAGGCAAATCTTTCCTTCATCACTAGGAATCTTTTCAGGTTCCAATGGCCAAGATTGGGCTACCTGATTTCTCCCTTGGCAAAACCTATGGAAAAACATATGTTTTGCATTTTCATCTTCTATGGTGAAAAGTGAGTTCAGCTAGAAAGGAAAAAGGGAAGGGAAATAATTGTTGGTAGGATAGTCCTTCCCAACTTTTTGATGCTGTAGTCCATGTGTAAAAGATATAATATTTGCATGGCATGTTGGGTGCATCTTGGTTTTAAATATTTTCTTCAGGTAATGTAATTATAAAGAAAAATAAAATAGAAAATATGTTAAAATTGAATTTGTAAAATCTTCCAAATGTTTAATGAGACCCTCAATCAGCTTTTATGAACATAACTTTTTTTTTACTTAAAATAGCTATAAACAATTCTCATTTGAGAGTTTTTAATAGTTCTTGTTACTCCAAATCTTAATAGATTCTATTGTTGAGAAGTGTTCTTCATAAAAGTAACTGATAAAACATTTAGACCCGTTTTACAAACCTTTCAAATTATATTTAAGTGCTCCTGTGATGGTAGTCTAAGTAATTAAGACCACCCCTTTCACTGACAATTAGGAAGGTTGTACAGAACATAATAGGCATTTGCTCAAAGTAATTGGAGTTTTAACAATGTGGGAGAAAGTATGGATCTAAGATGCAGAAGAATGAAAGCTGGAAGCATGAACAGTCCTGTTCATTCAGGACAACTTTTAACCTGGTTGTGAGAAAATTCAGATTCTATGGCTAGCCGAGGAAGTCTGCAATAAGAATCAAATTTTGTGTTGAGACCACAAGGATCATACCCTCCAAGGTAAGGGTACAAATTTGTTAAAAAAGCTTGATCTTGCAGAGACTGAAGCTCAGTTTTAAATCACTTTAATCCTTGAAACCGACTTAAGGTGACCTGGCATTTCTAATGCTTCTAGCCAACTTCCATAAGCAAATTTAAATTCTTTCTTGAGGAAGAAAACATAATTCTAGGCCTCAAAATAGATATATAATTGTTCAAACACACCATAGGGTGTACAATAAAATGTAACTAAGCACATAAAAAGACAAAATAACACTATTATAATCCACAGACAATGACAACAGCCCAATCAAGGATCTAGATGGTAGAATTATTAGAAACAGACTTTAAACTAAGTATGCTTAATGTATTCAAGGAGACAAGGTTGAGAACTGGAGCTATAAAACATATCCATATGGAATTTCTAGATGTGGGAAATACAATAACCAAAATTAAAAACTTAAAGAGTGGGTTCTACAGTAGTTTACACAAAACTGAAGATTTAATTAGTGACATTTTAAAAATAAGTCATAAAATTATTCATGAGACATAAATGAATGTAAAATGTGTGAGAAAGCATAGAGACAAAAGGAATACCTTGAGAATGTCTAATGTACATAATTTGAGTTGCAGAAGGAGATGAGAGAGAATGGACAGAAGCAATTCTTACTGAAATAATAGCTGAAGATCTTCCAAAAATGATGAAAGAATTTTATTAATCACGGTCTCTACTGGAAGCAGATAGAACCCTAAATATATTAGTTTATTAAGATTTTATTTACAATGATGTGTACTTGGAAGGGAAGTATAGGGGATCCACAAGGAGTATCAGGAACCTGATACAGTATATTTCTTTTGCCCCTCAACATTCATCCTCTTGACCAGCTACACAGGCAGGAACCATTACAATATTGTGTTACGTGATTCTCTCCTGCATTTAACTCCACCATCTTCTATGAAAGATACTGATCATGGCTAATGTTTTTGGTTTCAGGTGGTTCTGTGACTCATTTGTTTTTGCCTTAGAACGATACAGTAACTGATGAGTCGCCTCTGAATGTCAAATAGCACATTTTAAATTGCTCACTTATTATATTTATATGGGCCTTGTGATTGGCAATGTAATGTCACCAATGCAATGGATCAATGTCATATTGTACCATTATGGGAGATGAAGGACTCCTTCAAACCCACCATGGAGGCTTTCTAATTTTTAATGTATGGTCTTAATTTTTCATTCACAGCTGTTAATTTATATGTTTTTATATATGTGCTTTCTAAGGTTATTATAAAATAGATGCCAGGTGAGTCTACAATCTCTGTTGACCCTTTTGTTGCCATTGAGACAAAGTGCTATAAGCACTTGATTTCCTTGCAGAGCAAGGCACTGGAAATCTTCATTCTCTGGTGATATGTGAGTAATCATGATGTCATTTTATGCCATGAATTACTCATGCCTCATTGCTTCTTGTAAACATTATCATTGTGCTCTTTGAGTATATGAACACCCCTGAGTGACATTTGAGGATCTATTTCCTGAAGATTTACTTCTTAATACCCTGTATTAATCCGGGTTCTTCAAAGAAACAGAACCAATAGGATGTGTGAGTGTAGAGAAAGAGAGGGAGAAAGATTTATTTTAAGGAGTTGGTTCACACAACTGTGGAGGCTTAGTGAGCCCACAATCTTATGGGGAAGACTAGGAGGCTGAAGACTCAGGAAAGAGAAGCAGTTTAAGTCCAAAGGCAGTCCGCTGTAGAACCAGAAGAGCCCATGTTACAGACATGGTTTGAAGACCAGTCTGCTGCAGATTTCACTTTTGCTTGAGGGAAGTCAGCCTTTTGTTCTAGTCAGCCTTTCAACTGATCAGATTACCCTCCACCCACATTACAGAGGGCAATCTGCTACTCAAATTCCACTGATTTAAATGAACATTTCATCCAAAAATACCCTCAGAGAAATGTTCAAAATAATGTTTGATCAAATATCAAGACACCATGACCCAACAAAGTTGACACAAAATTAACTATCACAGGCTACTTCTGGTACTAGTTAGTCTATCAGTTGGGTTGCCAAGATAAGCAGATGGCACACTAAAATTGGCATAAATCAAAGTGGACTAATTTACAAAGGACTAATCACAAATGTGTGAGAAAACAAATGAGTGATATTACATTAACCTGAGGCTAGCAATACAGGAGCTGTCACTGCTTCTAGGCCCAGAAGTTTGAGGGGAAAAGAGGCTTAGACAGTCATGTAGAAAGGGACACTTTGAGAGAAACAGTGACCTTTTGTGGAGAGATACATCAAACATAGGGTGCCTTCCACAAAGGAAACCAGAGGAATATCTACCCTGACCTTTTCTCCCTCTCCCTACTGATGTTCCTCTTTAGCTAAACTTAACTGGAAACCAGAGGGCATTGGAGCTATTGTAATCCAATCATTGGGTCAGCTTCCCGAGGCAGAGAGTGAGGTGGAGCATGGATGTGGAGAGGCAGAGGACGCTAAATACTGATCTCAAGTCACAGAGCCAAAAACCCCTAAGATTCCCCAAGCAGAAAGAATAAAATAAAAATCATATTTTGGCACATCAAAGTAAAATGGCTGAAAACCAAAGGAAAAAGAAATATTATAATGTAGCATCCCCCTCAAAGAAGACCAATTAAC